GAACTCATGAAACCAGGGGTGTATGGTGTTGGGGGAGGAGGGGGTTAATCCAGCGCATACCTCCACATTAGTTATTCTCTTGGGCAATAAGAATATTTTTAGAATAGGAAGGATTATTTGCCGCCTTATCTCTTATGTTTGCCCCATTCCTTGTCTCAATACCCAGATTTTGGGCAACTCCTTAGGTCCTATTCATGTGTGGCGGTGGAGTTAAAAAAATTGCGTGGCACGTGACATATAGAGGACACTCACCCCCCTTTAAATTAAAAGATTCTTCTTCATGTGTATAATATCCAGTGGGAAGGAAGATAAGTTTCCACGCTTTCTCCTCCTGATGTGGGTTTTATTGATCACCCCAAAAGCGTGACACAAATTTGACCCAAAGACAAGGTGACTCCGAACCTTTTTTCCAACTCCCAAATAAAGCCTATGTTTTTTGGGGGGGGGGGGGGGGGCGCGGGTTTAGAGATCAACCAAAGGACTTGTATGCATGCATATTAGCATAACCAATGGACACACAGACACTGTGTGGTGGGAGTGGCCAGGGGGGTGTCAATTGGGGAAAAAGGAAACATATGTATTACTTTAAACAAGAAAAAAAAAGGGAAAAAAGACAAGATGGGAGTGAGAAATTGAAAGGAGTATAATAAATATATAGGAACTGTGATGGTGAAAGACTTAGAAGCCCTCTGTGGAGCCCTTACTCCATGCCTTGAAGAGGGGATGATTTGAGTAAAAAGGCAATATACCTAGGAAAACAGTGATGAACCAAGAGAGAGCCTAGGGTCACTATGGCCAACAGAGTGGTTATCTGTATTCTTCTCCATCATACTTCTTGGTAACATTCAATTTTCATCATATAGCCCAAAGGCCATTAACAATATGTTCTCCTCTACCTCTTGGTAAGCTTCCTGAAAACCATCATCCTTAACATTCCACTTACCTCACTGTATTCCTGGAAAGTTACTCGAAATATAAGCTTTCATGTAATTAATCCACTTTTAGATAGAAAAAAGAACACAGTGCAAACCAATACAATTCATAACACCTTCTTACCTTTTTCTGCTGGGCTCAAAACAGTGACTGTAAAAAGAGAGAAAAAGATAAAAATTATTAATATTTAAAAACATTATTTTTCTAAGCCATTTCTCCATAGCATTATTTTTAAGAAAGACTGTCAATGGTACTTTAGGAAATCATCAGCCTGCTGAGACAAGGGCGTAACTAAAACCTACAGAATTACATTTCATTCTTTGCTATCTTCCTTTATCTTAAATTTTGAGTACTTAAGAATTTCTACTCATTCAACAAATACAGGTATAATCTTGTTTAAAATAAAACAGCAAATGGAAATGCCAAAAAAATTAAGAACGTAAAAACTTCTCAGTTAGGAAATCATTATTCATTTTCAAAAAGTATTCACTGTAGAACATCTTCAAATACCAAGCATTTCTTGTATATTTAGAGGTAACATCTTGTGGGGATTTCATGCCAGCTCGGAAGTAGAAATATCTGGGTGAGAATCTCCATCACAATACTTTGTGGCCCTGTGCAAAATCCTTAACTTCTCTAACAGTACCTACCTTACAAGGTTACATGAAATTTAAATAAGTTAACACATGAAAATGCTATTCAGCATTATATCTGGCAAAAGGTAAGTGCTTAATGAATATTAATTATTATTATATTTGAACTAAGATATAGAATATCAAAACTGAAAAGGAACTTAGCAATTATCTGATGTTTCTGTGTCATTTCAAAGATGGGGAAAATGGACTAGAGTAGTATGAAATGATTTCCTCAAGATTATAGTTCAAGTTAGCAGTAGAGTAGGGAATAGATTGCAACCTCAAGGGCTTTTTCCATGTGCTTTATCAAACTTTCTCAATAATTTCTTTCTGACCAATTGTAATATATACATATATTTTGTTCAGAATGTCATTTGATGAAGTGAGGCCTATGTGTCTTTATTCACCAACCGCATCTGTATATACGTATACTAGATCCTAAGGTAAGATTAAATTAAAAGGCAAAACCAGGTGAAGACACTACAAAGAAAGAGAATTACAGGCCAATATTCCTAATGAATATAGACGCTAAAATCCTCAACAAAATTCTAGCAAATCAGATCCAGCATTACATTAGAAAGATCATACATCATCACCTAATGGGATTTATTCCAGGGATGCAAGGCTGGTACAATATCCACAAATCAATATAGATGATACATCACATAAACAAATTGAGAGACAAGAATCAATTAATCATATCAATTCATGCAGAAAAGGCATTTGACAAAATCTAACACCCTTTCCTGATTAAAAAAAACTCTCAGCAAAGTGGAAATAAAGGGATCATACCTCAACATAATAAAATCCTCATATGACAAACCTATAGCCAACATCATACTCAATGGGGAAAATCTAAAACCATTTCCCCTAAGAACAGGAACAAGACAGAGATGCCCACTTTCACCACTCCTGTTTGACATAGTACTCGAAGTGCTAGTCATAGCGATCAGACAAGAAAAAGAAATAGAAGGCATCCAAATTGGAAAGGAAGTAAAATTCTCATTATTCACAGATGACATGATATTGTACATAGAAAACGATAAAGACCCCATTTAAAAAACTAACAGAACTAATAAATGAATTCAGCAATGTAGCAAGATACAAAATTAACACCCAGAATGTTGTCGCTCTAGTCCCACTTCGGGCGTCCATTTATGCCGGGGTTCATGTCCCAGCATGAAGAAGGGTTCAGGAATCTGGAAAAGGGGCTGCGCGTAGATGACATAGAAATCCAGAGACTAATAAAGAGTCCGGAGATGAGATATAATTTTGAAAGGCATTGGGGGTCAGAGGACCTTCAGCTAAAGGAACTGAAGAGTGTCCCTCCTTGTCTAGGACCCTTGCTTTTATTAACACAATTTGTCCTAAGGCAAGGTGGAGATAATACACTTCAACGGGTAAGGTTTCAAAGGGTACAGAGTCCATTGTCAGAATGGGGAATAGCCTATGGCTGTTCAGGTGTTTGGCCAGTAGGAGGCAATAACATGTAGATTAAGATGCCCTTTAACTGTCTGGCAGCCACAATCAGTTTCCTATTCAGGTTTGGGGAAATGCCTTTAGCCATTCCCAACAGGTGACTACATGTGTGACTCAACCCTGTTGAGTCCCCAAGTTTCATCAACATTTTGATGGAACTCTTAAAATTATGACATGCTGGAATTGGTCTACGGCACCAGAAATCTATGGCTTTTTTATACGCCAATAATGAACTCACAGAAAGAGAAACTAAAACACAATCCCATTTACCATTTAAAAAAAATAATAAGATACCTACGAATAAATTTAACCAAGGAGGTAAAGAAACTGTACTCAGAAAATTACAGGATGCTGAAAAAAGAGATAGAGGAAGATATAAACAAATGGAAGAATATACCGTGTTCATGGATTGGTAGAATCAACATCATTAAAATGTCCATACTATCAAAAGCAATCTATAGATTCAATGCAATCCCCATTAAACTACCAATGGCATACTTCAAAGACCTAGAACAAACTCTCCAAAAATTCATCTGGAATAAAAAAAAGACCCTGGTCGACGCTATCTTGAGTGGCTGTTTTCGGAAGCATATACATCCAAAGACCCTGCAACCACGGCATCCAGGAATCGGCTACTGACCCAGAAACACTGGATCTAAAGCAGCTCGAATACGTGGACTCAGAGGAGCCCTGCTCCTCCTCAAAGAAAGGTCACATTCCACCTTGATAAGGGTGCGGTTTGCAATTCAGGTTGGAGAGAGGAACGTGTGAGGGGAAATCTGCACCCCACAAGGTTCGAGGCGGTTGGGGCCAGTGTGATCCGCGAGTGCGGAAGGGGTCTCACAGGACTGCTGCCAAAAGGGAACTCTAAAAATAAGCCCATAGCTGGACTGGGTGCAAAAAGGCAGCCTCGGATTTTGCCAGTGTACCGGCTGCTTAGTGCCAGGGGAGAGAGGATGTGCGGAAGAGACTGCGCACAGAGCTGGATGGTGGAGGGTTGCGAGAGTCGCGCACCTCCTCAGGCCCCCCTTTTTTTTTCTCTCTCCCCTTTAAATCTTTGTGTTTGATTATTAAACCCAATACATAGGATCGCCCAATGGGGGTCACTGGCAGAGACTGCAGTGAAAAGTTGTTTTTGTGGAACCTGGGAATCAGAGCTGGGAGTAACAATCAACGAAACAACTCTGTGGCAGTTGACTCTCCCAAAATACTGGATAGAGAGGACTTATAGCCTCGGAGGTCAATCCAGAAACACTACCACTCAGGGGCTGAACCACAAACTGACTCCTCTGTAAACACACATAAAGGCAGTCTGGGAAACAAATACGGCCTGCTTTAATATCAGAACTGTGGTTTACAACACGGAGGAACAGTGTATTGCAGGTAACTTCAACACTCTCCTGAATACCTGACAGGACTAAGGAATGTCAAACATAAGAGTAGAGGAACTGAAGAACCTTCACTACTGCACATTTTTATTTTTTTATCTTATTTTTTTTCACCTTTTACTTAGGAAACTAATTTTTTTTCTTTTTTCATTACCTGATTTTACCTTTTTAATTACTACATTTTTATTTTTAACCAGTATTATTACTACTACCATTTTACCTTTTTTTAAAGTGTCATTATATTTTCTCTTTATCGTATTTTGGGATTAGTGTTCTAAATTCTCTTTTCATCTTTCCTTTAGCATCATTTTACTCTACCTCAACTTTACCTTTACACCAAAACTCTCCTCCTCACTTTTCCCCTTTGTTGTCCTGTTTCTCTTACCCTATTCCTGCTTTACATTTTCCCTATTCCTTCTGTTTATCCCCTGTTAAAATTTCACCCTACTTATATATCTAATTTCCAATCCCCTGCTCTAAATCTATATACACCTCTCTCTTCTTTTCTTCACAATCCAAATTTTTCTCTCTCTGTCATTTGGTTGTTGTTTACTTGATTGTTCAGTATATTGGGGTTTTTTTAATGCTTGTTTGTGAGATTGTTTAGCTTTTTCTTTCTATTTTTCTGTTTGTTTGTTTTGGGGGTTTTTTTTTTTCTTTTCCAGATTTTTTTTTTTTTTGCTCCTGTTTTCCCTCGCCTCGCTAGATATCAATTGTTGTTTGTAGTTTGCATTCTGTTGCTGGAATTTGTTGGGATTAGTGGCTGTTCTATTGGAGTTTTCTCCCCACATAAATAGTTTCTTCCCGAAAAAATGGCGACCAGCAGGAAGGTAGGGAGGGAGAGAGTGTGAGAGTGCAAGGAAGTGATAGAGGAGTGTGTGGACGTGTGTGGTGTGTGTGTGTGTGTATGAGCTAGGGACAGTTAGACTCTGCAGGTCTTCTAAGGGGCTGCTAAACCCGGCAGTCTTAGGCGGCGGAGTCCCGCTCCTGGCGCAGACACTCCTGGGCGGCCAGCAAAGGCACAGCGACCACGCCATCTTGGGAAACAGAGCTGCTTGAGACTAGGATCCTGGCCTCAGCACCACCCAGTCTGATCTCAAAAGCATACCAGGACCCTGCAGCTACTGGGGACAGAGACCTGCGACCATCGGACACCAAAAGTTCAGAAAACCCTGCAGCAGATCCGTGAGTACCAGAGCCCATCCCCCATTCCCCCAGGCTCGCGGGCAGCGCCAGAGTAACTAACTGATAGACCTACCCCTTGCCTGGGCATCAGCGCTGCAGGAACTTTGGCCTGGAAGTGCGAGAGCACCTTGGAACTGATCCTATGCGCACTGCTGGCTTCGGAGCCCTGGGCTGGGAGCATAAGCGCTCGCACCACCAGGAACTGATCCTACGCGCACTGGGCTTTGGAGCCCTGGGCTGGGAGCAAAAGCGCGCACAGCACCAGGAACTAATCCTGCGTGCACTGCTGGCATTGGAGCCCTGGGCTGGGAGCAAAAGCGCGAACGGGAGTTTGTCCGCCTAGCACAGGCCCAGGGACCCTGTTTCTCAGGGCAGGAGGCAGCACCAAGCACCAGTGACTTGACTGTGTTTCTTATCACCTGCGCCTGAGATCCTGATTTCCTGTGCATTCATACTAAGAGCC